GGGCGCTCTACATGTTGGTACTTGTAGGCTGTTGGCCTGTAAATTCAACTTATGTACCCAGATTGATCCGTCATCCACTTGGCATTGGCCAATAAGCACCTTGTCAACAGGGCTTGGAGATGCTAGCAATCACAATCATGGTGGAAAAGTTGGATGATAAGTCAAAGATAAAGACCTCATTTTACTGGAGATGGTCATACAAAACCAATACTTGAGGAGGTAAAAGACAAGGTTTTACTGGGTCTTTGGACTTGTAGGGATATGTTCTACTTTTCTCACTGCACTTCTCACCCCACAATCCTACTTGCCAGGATCCCTCTTCCTCACGAGCCGAACATGGCGTTGGGGTGGAGATCATGGTCCAGCTGACAGCGGAGCATGAAGCGTCGTGGCCACGGATCCACGCATGCCTGCAGCAGACGTTGGATGCCTTAGGTGAATGGAATGGTTTCTTGGTTTTTGACTATAGCTGTTGCTCCGGAGGAAGCATCCAGAGCCGGGGGTGCCCATACTTGGCCAGTAAACTATAGGAGCGACAGGGAGTTTCCCAGCACCAACCCCCCTGCTAGTTAAGTCTTCAAGTTTGGGTTGGAAAGCTTGGAAAGGAAGCATTTGAGTATCCGAGTTTGCCATCCATCTCGGGATCTGGGGGCCTTCTATCCTCATGGGGAGGGCTGCAGCTATAGCGCGCGCGCTGTTTGCGCTTGGCGCTTGGCTTCTTCTCGTTTGCTTCGCCCCGTTCCTGTAGACCTAACTTGGTAGTCTCTACATCACACAAGAATCATTTCTGGACCATGGCCGCCCATGGCCCTGGTATACAAAAAATTGGAGATGTGACATGACATGGCCCTGAAACGTAGCTGGTTTTGACGTTTTTTTCTCCATAGGTACTTGGAGGCATGCGAAGTGGGAAGGTGTTCTAGCCATCTTGGGAGTCCACCTTCCCAGCTCTACAAGGTGTCACTAGTGCTCCCTTGGCCGATGTCTTTCTGACCACTTCCTTCAATGGGTCCAGCCTCACCGGCGTGGAGAGCTTGCGAAAACATCGGGCCACCCGGCGGTTGCTCACGTGGCAGCCGGAAGCGTTCAGAAGTCGTGGCGGCCAGTTTCTACAGCAAGTGCTGCTGGCGCGTCGCATGGTGCCGAATGGACATTGTTCTTGCTGCCTTTCGTTGATGTGAAGTGAATGAATTGGAAGCCTAAGTTAAGACAGATCATTAGCTGTGAAGCTTCGCCCAAACCCGTTGCTGGGGGATGGTCTCGACCATCCCTGGAAGGGATGACAATCCTCGTAGGAACCTACGGACCGATAGAGGTTGCCATGAAGGTGCCATGCGGTGGGAGATGGATCTAGGGTGTAGCCCATTTACCAGCAACAGTCCGTAAAGGCCTGCAGCCTCACCATCATCATCCACTGTTACTGGCAATGGGATATGCCCGAGATGGATCAATTATTCTAAACGAACGTAGCCTTTGGATGTTTTCAAACTCAAATGCAGGGAGGGTTGGGCCTGTCACCTATCACCAAGCACTATCACCAAGCACCTGTATTCACACAGATGGTGATCCGTGCCCATGTTTGGAACTAACGTGGCTTGGATGATTCCATTCAGGCCAAATGCGTTTGCAGCATGCGCTTCTGGTGCGGCTGCAAGGGAACTCCTTCTGCAGAGGAAAGGAGCAGGTGCAACACATCGCTTTGAGCCGATGTTTTCTCGTTTCTGAGGCTTCAACCTTCATTGATGATGGGGATCTGTAGGATATCTATTGGGGCGAGCTGCTGATCCAATCCTTGTCATACCCGCTTTGTCCAGTGTGTGCTGCTAGAGCAGGCAATCAAAATTGCATGCCCCGTTTGTGAACCATGGCTGCATCTCCTTGAAGGAGGCTTTCAGTCGCGGATCATGGGGGGATCAGGGGGGATCCTGATCGCGACGGGTTATTTATCGAAAGGGTCACCCGTCGGCAGGTGCTGTCCATCCTCCGGTTGTTCCACGAGCGGCCTGACGTCGGCATGGTGGTGAGCATGGGGGAGAATGAGATGATTGGAGACCGAACTGAACTGAACTGGTCATGTTGTATGAAATATGGATGCCCGTTCGGGCTGGAGCAGGTACGCCAGGTATGCAGTCACCTGTGGCAGGCCTGAAGAAACTGAGATGATTTGGGAGCAAAACTAAGGACATGCAGAAGACAAGTTTTGGACTTTGATGGAGTTGCCGGGGCCCGAAAAGCTCCAACGCGCCCACGACGAGTGACTTGATTCAAAGGTGACATGGACATGTTTCGACACTATCTGACTATCGAGCATATGTAGCCAGAAGCATGCGTGTGGAGACCGTTGACTGAGTAACTAGAACTAGGTGTGAAGCAGGCTGATGCAGGATTCACAAAGAGTTGGACCTTTCAAAGACGATTGATGCCTGGAGCTTGGAGGTCTTTCTAAATCCCTGGAGGTTGGGGGTTTCGACCGAGATTTCTTCTCAGTTGGCTTCCGCAAGCTGTTTTGAGGGTGGCTCGTTTGTTGGCCTTGATTTGTTTGTTGCTGGTGGGGTGAATAGAAGCAAGAGTTGTCCATCAGAACTGTTTGGGACGCTTTAGCGAACTCAGTTTTCCAGCAAGTGAATTGGAGAGCCACAAGATAAAAATTGATGCATTCTGATTCACCAACATGGAAGTGGACGTGCTCCATAGCTATACCCATCAACATGACAAGTCACCATATATACCATATATATATATAGCTACCATGATGTGTCATTGATGCACATTCATGCACGGGATTCGTGGAACCGTGTATTTAGTCATCGTATGTCATTGTCTCTCTCTCTCTATATATATATATACATATATATATATATATATATTATATATGTATGTATACCAGACACACTGCATGTTTGGCATATATATGGCATAATGGCATGTGCCTACATTGGAGCTAGTCTTAGGGGTCAATGTAGATGGACTGTTGGGGGTCGTCATGTTTCGGTCGAGGGCGACATCCCATTGATTGCCCTTGGCGATAGTGTTTGAATGACTGGATCTTCCTAAAGATACCTGGCTGAGGTTCTGGTCCCGATCGGCCTTGGCCTTTTGGACACGTTTGCAGGCGTTCGCCCCTCGCTTGCTGGCCGAGTTGGATGACGTGGATGTGGCCGTGGCACTGCTGGTGCCAAGTCTGGCCAGTCAGGAAGCTGAAGTCTATGCCATGCCAGGATGAGCGGTATGGAGTGGAGAAGGATTAAAACTGTGATTGAGAAGCATGAAGCTGCTGGAGTTATACGGTAGATGATCTTAGAGTTGCGGGCAGAAGCTCGCGTTTTGAACTTCTTCTTCATGATTTGGGGTCCAAGGACACCAGCACGTGCTTCAGCTTGAAGCAGCCGGCTTGAAGCAGCAAGATGCAGCCACCCAGATGCACCTCCTCGTGGGCAAAGTCGGCCAAGTATGGATCTTTCAATCCGAGCGAGAACCTCCTTCGGCTACGAACATCTTCGCTTCAGAAGCCAACACGGACCATCTTGATGCACCAACTGGCCGTTCTACGCTTCGACCACTCGGAGTGGCGCATGCCACGTGCGAAACCGCTGGCTGGATCGAACCTTTGCCCCGAAGGGCCCAATGAGAGACGAAGAACGTCTCAAGAACCGACGAACGACCCAAGTCGACCGGAACGAGACCGGAAGAAGGGCGAGAGAAGGTCACGTGCGAAGCCTGCAAGCGCGAACCTGGTCGGGGGAAGAGGATTGGCTTGGAACACGCATCCAGGGATGGGCAAATTCGACTCCCAGACGGTTATTCTATTTGATGGGGTGATTCACGTTTTCCTGTGTTCCGCAAAATGCTCCAGGGGTGGCATATATTCCTGCATAGACCTTTACAACCACCCTAATGAATACAACTATGCCACACATGGCAATGCTCGTGGAGCCAAATCGGTTCCACCAACATACGGACGGAGAGAGTTCGCGTCGCTCAGAAATCCTGGCCCTAGGGATTCTGAACTTGTTTCTATCAATTGAATGGTTGTCTACCAGAACCTTCCAACAGATGGTTTTTGGCCACCTCTTAACCTCTAAGAGGCTATTTATAGACACCTCTTGGAAGGTCCTGGTACTAATTAATTTTCAAGACCATAATCAAATGACCCTTCAGCCCGAAGGTTCTTTGATACACTAACGTCCTCATCACAAGCTTCGTCATTACAGGCGTACTCATTTTTGGCGGAAGTTGTCCTCGGGTAGAATATGGTAGAATTTGTCATCGCGTCCAAACCAGATTTGAATGGCACGAATGCATTTCCAAATCCTCGCTGTGAATAAACATGTCGAAACACAGGCAAGTTCAATGTTTTCGGCACCGCCCTGAGATCTAGCGTGTGGAGCGTCAAATGATACTAACTTCTGCAACCTTTGCAGTGGAGCTTGTTGGAGCTCCCCAACAGGTTCACACATAGCACCTTCTTGGGGACTTCCTGTTTTTTTGCACGCCAAGGCCTTGAGTCAATTGGATTCTGGCAGCATGGGGGCCCAGAGCCATTTGGGAATGAAGGATACAAAGGTGATCAAAGGTGCATGGGGAAAGTCCCCATGGCTTGGCCTAGAGTCACTACAGTGTTTAGGGAGAGCCCCTGGCCCCTAACTAATTAACCATCATATAGATTCATAGCATTGCATCATTCAGCAAGGCATAGCAAGATGTTATTGTTGCAGGTTTTAACTCCACATGATTTTTATTTGTATTTAAGATGCCAAATCCCGACTTTGGGTTGGGGAAGCATCAGAATCCCTGTCAAGTGAACACCAGGCATGGGTCCAGGCCAGCACAAGAGCATCAACATTGTGAAACTAGGTCCACATACTGTACCACCCTTCGGATTCACGAAAAAACAAAGAGAATGTGTGTTATTATGTTTGCGTTATTTTTTGTGGTGTTCTTTTTGGTTTCTCCCAACCGTTGTTGGAGACTGTAAAGGGACAAGCATGGACAAACCAAAGATGACGTTATAATACGTTATATAAGCATTGCATTAAGTTGAATTTTGGCTACATGTTACATAATTATTAAGTATAACATATATATATATATACACAAGACGCAAGTCAAGTCCTGTTGCTCTTGTTTTACTTGGTGGTCTTTGTGACTTGGCTTTGGGGGCATGCATGAGCAGAGCTGCTCATGCTCGACAACATGAATGACTCATTCATCATCAAGCATCCACAGCGTTTTTCGCCCAGACTCTTGGCCGTTGATCGACAGAAACAAAGTACGTATTCACCTTGAAGATCCAAATACATGGTTGTCGCATGGCAGTGTGGATCTTGGAAGTAAGCCCATGTAAGCCCGGGACCTTCAGTACGTGACCTAACTTGAGATCCCGGAGTGAGGTCACGAACAGGTCTTGAAAAGGTTACCAATCCTGAAGTTCGGTCACCGTCCTGGTATGTTCTTGCCAGATGAGGCGACGCAGTTCACGTTTTCTTTTCGGGGAGTCGCGGCTTGATCGAAAGCTCCGATATCAACTCATGTAGTAAGGGCTGATGGGGATCCCAGAATTGAACACAGGAGCACTCTCCAACAGGCAGTTTGTGGTTCTTGGGGGGACTGCGATGCGAAGCCGGAGCTCGGTGCTGCTGGTCATTGGCGCTTGGAGCTGCTGCTTTCTTGGAGGCTTGGGGCTGTGAGCTGGTTTCCATGTAAGATGAACAGATATGACGTAGACAACAGTCGATAAAAAAGATTATCACGATTTTTGAGAAAGTCCTGTTACCAGTCATCATCATCCACTCTCACAGGGAATGGGGTACACCCAAAAGATTAACAAGATCAACCAGGTCCACAAGGTGACATCTTTGTTTAAATAGATGTGTTTCACACACGCACAAGTTGCATGGTGATTCTAGGTTGCTTCTATATAGTGCAGGGATGTGCAGGGTGGGGGCCCGTGCATGTGAAGTGCTGGACAACTCCTTCAGTCGTGGTAGAGACCAGCATGTGAAGCTCTCAGATCTTGGACAGGAGACCAGCACCTAAGGACCTACAGCACTTTTCACATATCCCTGCCAGACACTCCATGGGACTGCCATATATGCTTACATTGGGGTGGTGCCAGGGAGGTATATGGCATGCATGGAGTGTTTGGGTAGTGTTACCCACCAACGATTGGAGTATATGTGTTTGTAACAATCCACCACTGCACATGTTACGAATACCTCAGCTCAAAAGTTCTTCGGGACTCCACATTGACCAGCTGCTGTTAGCATGTGCTAGGTCAGCACGTGCTTGATCAGCGGTGGTGCAAGGTCATAGGAGTGTTAGCTGACTCTTGCAAGGACTATGATTCACGGCTCGCCAGTTTTTTCTCACGCCTTTTAACTTCATGTTGATTACACTCAACCTACAGTATGGTCAGAAGCTCACCATTTCTTTGTGAATCACAGGTCTTTTGGGATTGCCGTGAGGCCACTTCCAAGCCCATACATATCCCCTTGGTGTATAAATCAGAAGCTTAAATCCCTCGACAATTCCTGCCATTCCGCAACTACGAAGGTCATTCGCGCAAACTACCAATGATCCACAATGCAGGTTACCCATTCGCCCCAAGAACATGACATGACCCAACTTAGCGCATGAGTGACGCCTACACTGTGAAAACTCTTGTAAACTACTTCAGAAATCCTGTGGGGTCTTCCTGCTACCAATCCTTTTTCCAGGCCACCTCTCGCCGCGCATATGCCGTGCCGCTTGCGCCCTGAACGCGGCGCGTTCGGCTGCGGCGCGTGCCTCCCGGCGGCCCATGGAGATGACGCCTGGTGGCAACGGGTCGCGGAGCGGGGTTCCGCACTCTAAGAATTCTTTGTTGTTCCTTGTAATTAGCTCTCTGACGACGAACCAACGAAAGGGACGTGTGTTAATTGCGACGGAAACGAGTGTATTTCCAAACAGTAGTGTTATTCCTACTTGTCTAGTGTGTTTTTTGCACTTGTCCAAACTTGAGGTGTTTTGTGCGTCGATTCTTTCCGCGAAATTACAAACAGTAGTGTTATTCCTACTTGTCTAGTGTTTTTTGCGACAGTGTGCTTTTTGCGCCGGTCCTACCTCCAAGGTGTTTTTTGCGCCGGTCCTAGCTTCAAGGTGTTTTTTGCGCCGGTCCTAGCTTCATGGTGTTTTGTGCACCGATCCTAGCTTCAAGGTGTTTTTTGCGCTGGTCCTAGTTCCAGGGCGTTTTTTGCGACAGTGTGTTTTTTGCACCTCCAAAGTGTTTTTTTGCGCCCGTCCTAGCTTTAGGTGTTTTTTGCGCCGGTCCTATCTTCCAGGTGTTTTTTGCACCGATCCTAGCTTCAAGGTGTTTTTTGCGCCGGTCCTAGCTCCAGGGTGTTTTTTTTCGCCGGTGTGTTTTTTGCGCCGGTCCTAGCTTCAAGGTGTTTTTTGCGCCCGTCCTAGCTTTAGGTGTTTTTGGTGGCTTGTCCAACCAAAGCAATAACACCGTGGCAAAAAAAAATCGTTGCAAAAAACACGTCGTCGCAAAAAACACTCCTTGAACTTTTGATGGCGCAACGAACTCCACGATCACTTTTGAAAAACATTTCGGCCTACCGTCGCAAAAAACGCCGGTTTCCGTCGCAATTTACACGCAGCCGAAAGGCTCGCTGGGTTTTCTATGGTTTTCTCCAATTGATGCTTTGGGTTCATGTGATGGTTACAGTGAGATTGCTTGCAACTATACACCATAAACATCCATAAATGGCGTACTTGCATGTGATTACCCGAATTTCCGCCATAAACCGTTTGTCCTTTGCAGTGCTTGTCCTTTTCCATTGGATGTTCTGTCGAAGAAGTCTCCTGTCCCTCGGTCACACCTGATCCTTCCGATCGGGTGGACTTCAGATGAGTCCCGGGGAGACAGGGCGGGTTTCTGGTGGTGTTTTGACCTGTTCATTCACCGACTGCACCATGGAAGTTTAGATTTAGTTTGATCATGTCCATGGAGTCCATTGTTGGTACCTTTTTTGAGATCTTTTCATCTCAAGGGTGGTTTGTACATGTTTGTACCTTTTCATTCACGACTGCACCATGGAACATTGTCCATGTTCCACATGTTTGTTAGATATGTTGTTCAAGCGTTTGCAGTCCTCGCCAGGTATATTTTGACCATCCCGGAGCTGAAGGGGGCAGAAATTGTATGGCTCCCCAGATCTGCGAAGATCGGATCACCCGGGGTAACCCGCGGAGTGAAAGCAGCAGGGCTCCAGGGGGTTCCCAAGGTCCAGGGGGTAGAGAGATCCGCGACTCAGTATCCGGCATACATATTGAAACACTTTGGGAATCCTTCAGGGATACATAGGGCAACAATAGAGGTTGTTCGGTGGCTTTGGTATCGGCCCCAACTCAGATTGTGGTCTTCTAGAAGGCACGACTCTCCTTCATGCACATGGAGACCTTTCTGTCGACGTTCAAACCCACTATAGGTCACTGCAACAGCTACAGTACACATCATCACACTGAGTTCCCTGAGTGCCATGAGACCTGAAGACCTTCGAAGACCTTCGTATCTCTGAATTCGACTCCAGACGCCCAAGGCCATATGCCCCGCCCTGGCAAGAGGGAGCGCGAACTGGGAGCAACGTCCTCAGGAACGGACACAGGCCTGGACTAGGCTGGGTACGTTGCCTGGCTTAGCCAGCCAGGCCTCGAAGTC